TATATATATATATATATATATATATATATATATATATATATAGTGCTCAATATCAGAGATAGAGCGTATGTAAATATAAAAGTGAACATTGAAGTCAGCACGCAGAGGCAACAGGCTGTTTCATGCTAGATGTAATCGTCAGGCCGCCTGACGATTGAGTCTAATATGAAACAGCCTATCGCCTCTGAGTATTGTCTTCAATGTTCACTTATATATATATCAGTTATGTGCCATGTGTGATAGGCGATCATGCATCTTTCGATAGATGACTGACGAGGCAAATTTTTTCCTGCAGTAGGTTGCCATTTCTTTCTGCAGTAAACCAGTTGCCACCAAAGGCTATAGAACCCAGTCTGTCCTGCTATTTACCCATAGCTGGGAGGAGAAGAAGAGGATTCATACCTTTCCCAAGGAGATATATATGTATATAATCAAACAAAAAAACAAAAAAAACAATGGCAGGTGTAGGTTGGCTTCATATTCTTGATTACCAGGTCATAAAATAAAATCATCTGAAGCTAAATAAAATCTCCAGTTTCAGAACTGGCATTTTTAATCTATTTAACAATAGATAGATAGATAGTCTATTCGCATTAAAGTTTTTTCACCGAGACAGATAGATAGATAGTGAAAAAAACTTTCATGCGAATAGACTGAGATAGATAGATAGTGAAAAAAACTTTCATGCGAATAGACTGAGATAGATAGATAGATAGATAGATAGATAGTGAAATAAACTTTCATGCGAATAGACTGAGATAGATAGATAGATCCCAGTGAAGAACTTTGTATGATTATAAAAGGCACAAGGCAATGAATAAACAAACACTGTAAAGCTGATTTTGAAGATTTCAAATTTATGAAGAATAAATAAAAACACCCAGTTTTTGTCCCTTGATCTTGGTAATGGATAAAAGTAAGATTCCAAATGTTAGGACATTATTTTTTTCTCTTATACATAAAGAAGACAGGTTAATTAAAATCTTAAAACATTTCATGTCCTTGTCCTTAATAAAATATACATCAATGAAATCCTGCTACCTAAATATATACATAAATTATATGGACTAAATATCAAAAGAAAGCTGTATAATTTATTAGACAAAACAGTGTAGCAAAATCAATGAGAGAATGAAATCAATTGCCTGTACAACGCTAGCCTGAAATCAAAGGTTAGATCTTTTACTGCCCCGCAACTCTCATCTTGTAAATCACTCTAAAAATTGATTTCAGCTCCACAGCCCTGATAATTCATAAAAATGAAAACAGAAATGACATGAACATTGGAAGTGTTTTAACAAGAGAGAAAATTTGCAGTGTTAGAGAAATACTGTCTAAAAGGACATTCAGTTTTAATGGATCAGTGATTTTCTAACTTTTACTTTCTATCACTTGGTGTTTGATCGATTGTTTAATGAATTTTAGCAATCGATTTTGATTTATAGCCCAAGGTCTAAAAACAGATACCAAAATGGAGAACCTCCCAGTCTCCATTTTCACCCAAAGTCTATCTCAAGTTCTGTCTTTAGCTGCATTCAAATAGGCTTGTCTAATACATAACTATAAATATATATATATATATATATATATATATATATATATATATATATATATATATATATATATTTTAGCAGGCCCTTATATCACATACTAACACCAGTCAATGTGAATACTATAAAATTTAGGAACTATTATGTTGCCAAAAAGTCTGTTTTGAGTTTCTCTTTAACATTAAAAGATGGCAGAAAATAAGCAACATTTTCAGTATATTTATTTTTAAGAAAAGCAGACAATTTAGTAAAAGAAAAGAAAATTTGTGCCCTTTATGGAGGAGGCACTGTGAATATGTATGAAAAGTGATTTGCAAAGTTTTGTCAAGATTTCTTGCTAAAGGATGCTCCACAGTGAGGTTGATCAGTAGTAGTTGGTAGCAATGAAATCATTTATTGGTTGTGTTTGTAGCAAAACTAAGAGCATAGTAGTAAATTTTTGAAGTACCTAGTAACAAACCATCACTACATTTGCTTATTAAAGCAGTCTACAATGCAATTAGTCAGATGGCCAAGTTTCTAGTAATAGAATATGTATACACCCCATACACACAGAAATAATTACAAAAAAATAAAAAGGAATAGAGAGACAGAAAATGATAGGGTGTAAAGGAAAAGAGCAGAAAGAGGGATGAGAAGGAAAGAAAAAAGAGAGAAAATATAATAAAAAGGAAAGAGAAAAAGAGAGGGAGAGGGAACCTGAAGATGTAAGTTGTAAAAAAAAAAAAAAAAAAAAAAAATCAGTATATGATAATTAAGTTTCCATGGAGGGAAATAAATGCGATTAGAATGTGAGCAACCAAAAAAAGAAAAATATAATCTAATCCATTTCAATTCCACTGTTAGTCATTGATTTAAATCAGATTGTACATCAGATGTAAATCTTATTTTAATTATATCATTCTCTCTCTCATATATATATATATATATATATATATATATATATAAACAAGTCCTCTTCTCAGAGCTTGCATCTGGCAAAAGACCACATGGAGCACCACTTTGTCGATTCAAGGATCAGTTCAAAAACACCTTGCTGAGGACAGAAATCGATCCGGTCAATTGAGCGATGAAAGCTGCAAAAAGAACCAATTGGAGAAGAGCAGTCCATGAAAAAAACAATATCCTTTGAAAACACCAGAAGACAAATGGAAGAGATGAAGAGAGCTGAAAGAAAAGCCAGAACTCTCCTACCCTACCATGTGGTGGCTACAGATGTCTCTTCAGATCCAACATCGGAATAATTTCACACAGAAAGTAATGTTGAGGAGCACTCTCATACTCAGCAACAAGTTCCACCAACAATTATATATGTGCAGGTTTCATTAAAAACGACAGACAAGGTACTATGGTTAAGATTTTTATTAAATTTTTCTTCTGTTCAAACAAGAGCTTTCTTTTTTGGGACACAGAGTGTGTAAAGACTGTCCAAACGTTCTATAGTTCTGAGTGCTTTTGGCTATACTTTTAGCCATTATCAAGGATAATTAAAAGAAAAAACTGATTTATTTTTATGGAAATATTTTGACTAGCAGTTGCCAGTCTTGGTCACTTCTAAATTTGAGTAAAAACAGTGCAAAGAAGCTTGAAATGCTTAAGAATTCAAATCAAGGAAAACAAACCGAGTTGATGATGTTTACAACATAATAGCAAGTTGAGGCATTAAAAAAAAAAAAAAAAAAAAAGGATTGTTTTTTTTAGTAAATAAATTACCTTTCTTTTGTCATATATTTTTCTTTGGAGCAGAGATGTCCAGACAGGATGGAGTTGTGCAGCATTTATCCTATTGCAGGTATTTTTTGTAGTTGCTATTATCATTTGTTCAGCTAATCTTAATGGAACTACAAGTTTTTTTCTTTTAATTATGCAACTACCAACGGAGACAAGCATCCTAACTTTAATTATCAAAGATGATTTTATTTTTTCAGTTTAGTTGAGTGTGTGCATGTTTTTAGTGTGTTATAGAGATTTTCTATTTGCCGAACATGGTTAGCACATTGTGGCCTAGCTCGTAGTTAATGTTGTTAAGAGTTGGCTTTTTCTTTTTTATTATTAGGGCTTCCATTATTTTCAATCTTTTTTACAGGTGGATGAGGTTATTACGTTTGTGTTTTTTATTAGTATGTTTCAAATGGAGTCTGGTAGGTTTGTGTGTGTTTAAATGGGTTCTAATAGATCTCTGGTCAGATAGGTGTAAAGTAAGGCATCTGGATAGGCATGTAGTTGTGTGACTGATATAATTATTTACGAGTTCAGTTTGATCAGAAACACAGTTCCTTAAGGGGCATTTGAACTCATAGATAATGTTCGTTCATTGTAATTTTGACAGATTGTATGTTGTTATTATTGAGGATAAGGTTAGCGGTCTTAAATTTTTTATAGTAGATAATTAATTTGATTTTCTATTCACGTCAGTAGTGTATTTCTCCTACTCCAATTTACCTGAATAAAAATAACAAATTAATTATCTATTATAAAAAAATTTAAGACAGCTGATACAAACATCAAGATCCTGCCAGTTTTAGGGCACTGTTTTAAACTGGGCCTCAAGAGCTACTGAAGATGATTGCAGAATGTGGGAAGTGAAAGAAATGAAACAATATCTGATGGAGACTGTCCAAAACAGGTTTAAGCACTTTAAGAGTAGTGACTGCTCCTTTAAAATAAAGTTTCAAAGTGGCTGACCATCTGTTGTCAATTATAAAAATGCAAATTAGTCAATAACCAATTTGGAAGCCTACAAAAACTTTTAGAAGAACATTGAAAGTTTCTATATTCAGAAAAAAATACTTTTGATACACCCTTACATAAATAATAATACACTACACACTCAGGTCTGATAGACCCCCTGAGGAAAATGAGGCCATAGCTCTCAGCACACTAGGCATTACTGTTGTGGTTTTTATAGAAAGTAGTAGGTCTTTACATGATGGAGTTGGTAGACCCATACTCAACCAGTTTTGAATCAAGAGGAAAGAGTTGTCCTTTTCCTAAACAGGTTGCCAACTACAGCTAAAGATCCCAGTCTGCTCTACTACTACTATTTAACCCATATCCAAGGGGGGGAGAACATATGGATTCATACCTTCCAAAAAGGTATTTGTGCATAAGTGAATGCCATTAACTCAATTGGAATTTGAACTCTGCTCTCCAATTTATTATCCTGAGCCACTATCCAATGTACGACCAGCACATTCATAAATAACGTTTTTTTAATGCTATATCCTAAGGCTGTCCAGATTCTTTTATTGTTTATGGATTTCCATGTCTTCTTGAGAAAAAATGGTTTGCTTTTTGACTTCTGTAAAGATTTATAATATATATAATAAAGGCATAATTTTTTTTTTTTTTTTTTTTTTTTAAATCACTATCAATCTTGTGCCAGGCAGTAAAACCACTAAGACACGAGCAGTACAAAGTGTGGAAGAATTAGGAACAGAAACATTAATAATGAGCATGGAGAGGAAAGAGTAATCAGGAGGACAGTAGATAATGATTGACATTGCATTTAAATTTTTGCTGATTAAAGTTGGTTGGAAAGCATGGAGCTGGAAGGGCGTTCCACAAGTGAGAAGTGTGAGAAAAACTGTTAGCATAGTATTTACGATTACATCTAGCCAGCTCAACTGTAAATTTTGAGACAATATATAAAATCTTTGGAATAAAAATCTGAAAAACTATTTTTCACATACTCTAATATAAAGACTTCTGTATGTCAAAATTTTTAAAATCTGTTTTTCTTTCTTTTTAATTGTAGGGAAATAGGACCAAAGAATTGTAACTTTTACCCAATTTAAGGTAAAGCACATGTGCTGCACTCGGGGTTCAGTTTGACTTGTGCTGCACTCGGGGTTCAGTTTGACTTGTGCTGCACTCGGGGTTCAGTTTGACTTATCAACTACATTAACTATAAACTTTTGACTTACTCTGTACACTGACAGAGTTGAAAAGAAACAACACTGGAAAGAACTTTCCTATTATAAAAAGATAAAACATTGGAATTTTAGTGGCCACTGCAAGTACATCTGGAATGTTTCAAGATAAAGTGTGTAACTGTTTCTTCTTGGTCTAAGACCATGTGTATGGATACTGAATAGGCATAAAAAGTAATGTGGCTAATTAAAACTGATAGACAAAAGACAGAGGAAAATATTTGTATCTAAAGGAAAGAGACCTCCCATAATGTGTCACCCAAACTTGGAATGCAACTTGTGATATTCTCTCTCTGACAAAC